TACAGTAAATTATAACATGTGCTATATTTAATAAAGTGATTTATACTAATTAAGTATCAATAAGAATATCAAAGAATATTAAAGAAATAATTATAAATAAACAGATAAAAATAAAAATAGAATAAAGATAAAAAAAGTATAAAACTCTTTTCACTGATCCTTTGACCATACATAAAAAAGATGTTTATAAGAAGTTTTATACTTTCTTGCTAATAAAGTCTTTATACTTTTATTAAAACAACTTGAAGCTTGTTTTCAGTATCTCTATTACCTTTCTTTACTTGTTTATAAACTTCTTTTAATAAAACTTGGATCTCTAATAATCTAAATAGACTTAAGTATATACTTTCTCTATTAAGGACAAAAAGGTTCTAGGAGATAAAAGGATTGATAAGTGAGGTGTCATCTTATAGAACTAAAAGCAACAAGAAATAGAGGTTTTATTAGCAAAAAAAGGTTTATTATTCACTTTCTTATATACTGTCTTGTATTCTCTTAAAGTATTTACTGTTTATTATTATTTTCTTGAGAAATTTTGCCTACTTTAGTTTGATCCTAAATTTCTGATAATACAATGTTACTTGACATTCAATTGGTTGGCATGAAATACATTAGTAACAGAATATAAACAAGTTCTTATTGGTCATACCCATGTATTCTAATAATATCATTGATGATTAAAAGAATTGATTGATACTTCAGTCCTATCCACTTCTCCAATTGGACAATCTATAGATCAAATTTTATTAGACTAATAATATATAAGTAATAAGTTCTTAGGTGATAAAAAAGCTACTATTTTTTTAAGCTAAGATTTTACTTTTCTATTATTTCAGTTAGACAAAATTCAAAATCAAGATCTTCTTTTTATCCTGATCAAACAATAAAATTGAATGGTTGCTAGTTTATACTAAGCTTTAATCCTTTAATTACAGTTAAGAATATATTTTTTCAAAAGTTGTTAAAGAATATTATAATTGACAAGGATCTTCATTACTGTTTAAAAGCTTCCTACTATTATATAGCAAAAAGATTTTTTAAAAATTCAACCTTTTAAGTAATAGAAAATATATACTAATAAAATTTCTTTAATTAGATATGACTACTAAAAGGTTTTATATTGAAACAATATAGTTCAATCTTTATTGAATTATATAAGAACCTGGGATTTATCATAAGTCATCTCTTTACTGTAGATGGATAAAAAATCACTGCTCAAAGAAGGTTGAGATCAAGTGTATTCTAGAAGTAAAGACTCTTACTAGGTGATAAGTTTTCTCAGATATTATATAAGAAGGAAATTAAGATCAAGAATAAATAAGTTTCTCAAACAATCAGAAAAAAAAATTTTCTAATTAGAAATTTTTTTATTGAGAAGAGATTTTGAAAAGCAAGTCTTTAGAAAAAACCAAAAAAAAAATTTTTTCAATTTTTACTTTTTTATTTTCTTGTTATGTATTTAGATATTTTTAAATATCACTCTTTTTCTTTTTTTCAGCTTATCTTTTTGTAGTTTTTTGTATTTCAGTGGTTTGATATAACATATAACAGTAACAACCTGTTAATAATAATGTAATGAACTAGGAGAATTTTTACCCAAAAACATTGTAGAGTGAAATATTATTCTCAAGATCAAACTTAAAGGCCTTTATGCTTATAACAAGTTAGTTATATTAGAATAATAGTTTGGCTATAGTTAAAGATGGGTCTCTAAAGGGGGAGACAGGGACATAAGTCAAATGTCCTTCACTAGAAAATATTAGAATTTTTAAATTAATAACTATAAAAAAACTATCCACAATTGTTCTCTATTATCTAAATCATTGATTTATAACATTTCCTGACTTTTGTCCCTATTAAAGTAAAGAACCATGAATTTTGTCCCTCAAAAAAGGATATAAGTGATCTGCAAAATTTTATATGCTAAATACTTTAGGGACACATTATTAACTATAGTATATATTATGTTGCTCAAATGAAAATATACTTATGTTTTTAATTAATTAATAAACTCATAATATAATCTAGCTAAGAGTACTCAAAAAAAAAAAAATAAAAAAAAAATCATAACTAAAAATAACTATCTAATAATATTAGAGATTATTTTTATTACATTATTAAAGCTTTGTTATTATTTAAAAATTTTAAATAAAAAATAAAATTCTATAATTTATATTATTTATCTCTTAATCTTTTTATATTATAAATACTTTTATAAAGAAACTTAAAGTAATAATTTCAAAATATTTTTTTTTAATTATTAATAATATTATTGAAATATATAAATATAATTAATTAGAATTTGTTTATATTTCTTTTTTTTTTTTTCTCTTTATTAGGTTAGTTATATATATTTTATTAAACATTTGTAAACTGTATATATTAAATAAAATGCTAAAGTTAATTCTTTAATTAACTCACTTGTTTTGATTATTTTATTTCTCTAAGTGCAACTTCAGGAGTAATTTTTTGTTTTATTAGAAGTTCAAATGAAAACTCTTTCAATTTCTAATATTTTTATCTGCAGGTTCTATTGCAAAGAATTTGTTTACATTTCAAAACTAATGTATTTCATATTAACCAATTATTTTTATATTATTTAAAATTCAAGATCAAACTGAGATAGATAAAATTTCTTAGAAAACTATGAAAGCAAAAACTTTAAGAAGGCCAAGATAGTTAAAAAGAAAAAGATAAATCTTTTTATTGCAAAAAATTTCTATAAATCTCTTATTTCAAAAGTTAAAAAAATTTTCAAAAACTTTATAATCGATTTTTCTATTTTTGAAAACTTTCTTACTATTAATATCAAAAATATTACTTGATTTTTTTTAATCATTGGAAGTCAAATTTTTAAGTGAAAAGATTTGTAAATAAAAAAGAAAGAGTAGAAAGAATTCTTGAAGTTATACTTCAAGATGTTTTAGGAAAAATATTAAGACTTTATTAGCAAAGAAGTGTAAAAACTTCTTGTGAATATTTTTTTTATATGTGATCAGAGGATCAATAGAAAGAGTTTATGAATAATAAGTTTTTTTATCTAAAGTACTTATAAAATACTAAACTATTTTTATAATTAAACTTAAAAATTTAAGCTTAAGTTTGATTAAAAGACAATAAAGCTTATCTTAAAATTTGTATCCATATAATACTCAAATATTTGCAACTAAGTGAACAATTGATATAATAAAACACACTATTAATAGTTAATATATCTATACGGTGACAACTACGAGTGTGGTAGTTAAAACACCGAACGATCGAAATCATTATATAATATGATCCGCAGACTCAGTCCGAAGATATAGCGGTCAATCATTTACTCTTTTGGATAAGTTGCACAAGAATTCCAGTTTTATTTGTTATTCAATTGTTGAAGATTCGTGACGATCAGACATGAATTCGTTCGCGAATTCTCTTAGTCCTTTAGCATCAAACATTAGGGTTCAACTTGCTTTAACGGCCTTTGGCGCAACACTTGCCACAGGGATTGCGATTTTTTCATACCAATCATATCAGAGAGACGCGCGCAAGAAGGCCCTTAAGAAAAAAATTTCTAAGGATCCTCCCATAAGGGGAATAAACCCAAAGGCCTCAAATGCCCCAGCCAGTGTTGAGCATTTCGACGAAACACTCATCAAAGAACAGTTGGCTAGAAATATAGCCTTTCTCGGAGAAGAGGGTGTTGATAAATTACGAAACTCCTTTATTATAGTTGTGGGGGCCGGGGGAGTTGGATCTTGGGCTGCGTTGATGCTTGTTCGTTCTGGCGTCCAACACATCAGAATAATTGATTTCGATCAGGTCACGTTGAGCAGCTTGAATAGACACGCAGTTGCCACACACGCAGACGTTGGTAGTCCCAAGGTTATTGCTCTACAAAAGAATTTCAAGGAGTTCGCACCGTGGGTGAAAGTTGAACCTGTAATTGAGCTTTTTACAAAAGCAAACGCTCCTCGACTCTTAGCGGGTATGTTTTAAACATTACCGGATCTAAATTCCTGGCGATTATAAATCCTTTGATTAAAAATTTTGTAGGAAATCCGGATTTTATTATCGACGCCATTGACAATATAGATACAAAACTAGATCTTCTCAAATATTGTCATGACAATAAACTTCCGGTAAGCCTTTTCTTTTTATGTTTTATTTGAAAGTAATTTATTTTGAAATTCTTGAATCGATATTCAGCGAATTTTTTTTTTTAGATTTTGAGTTCCATGGGAGCAGGCGCAAAAGCCGATCCATCGCGCGTGCAAATCAGTGATATTAGTCAAACGATTGGTATTTAGAAAGATTTCTATTGCATTATATTACCACTTGTGTGATTATATCTAAAATTTGTTGTAACAGAGGATCCGCTTGCCAGAGCTGTTAGACGACGTCTTAAAAAGTTAGGAGTCGATTCTGGAATCACCGTAGTTTACTCTTCGGAAAAACCTAATGTCAAATTGTTACCATTGGGTCGGTGAACATGTCATTCTTGAAGCAGGATTATATCTTTTTTTCGTCAAACACTAACCTATAGGTGTCGACAATTAATAGAGGAAAGTAAAATCACAAATGCTTCTGAATACGCGGCATTGCCAGATTTTAGATCTAGGATCCTACCAGTCTTAGGCAATAATTCTTTGCACATCTTTCAATCTTATTTTCCCCTGTTAGAATTAATGAATAACTCGAACGAACGTCGTCAACATTAGGCACCATTCCCGCGATATTTGGGATGTCGATTGCCACTTACATCATAACTCACATTTCCGGACATCCAATCGAACCACTGGCGAACAAGAATCGCGATGCTCTATACGCTAGGATGCATCGCGACTTGTTGAATAGAGAGAGAAGAACCTATGGATTAGAGTAAGAAGTCTTTTTTTTTTTTTTTCAATTAGTCGCGTTTAGGAATCGGAATTTGATTTTCTTTTCCTTTGGCGACCGATCCTCTTTAGGTCAATTCCCTTCGACATTCGCGACGTTGGATATATATTCGATGAAATATGGCGTAGTAAAAGCGCAATCTCCGGTTCAGGCGAAAAACCGACTCTTATTCGGTGGAATTGCAGTCAATCATTAACTCATCAAAACTGTGTAGTCATGACTAAAGCAGAAGCAGAAGCGCACGAAAAGGTTAAAGATCCGGAAAATTTCTATTCCCCCGAAGTAGTCAAATTAGTTAAAGCCAGATTTCAAGAAGAAAGGATGATTTCCCACTTCCGCTAAAATTTCGAGCTCAACCGCTTGCAACTATTTACAGTCCACATTAATTACGCAGATCGGTTGCAATAACGTAAATAAAGTCTCAACAATTTTAATACAATGTACGTACGTATAACAAATATTGGCGATCCTGCAAGGAACGATGACACACGCGCATTATATATTAAAGTGTTTCTTTGAATTTCTTTTAATTTCCCACACACTTGGAAGTGTACAAAAACAGCAATCTCAATACGCCATTCACCAGTTATGGGTTCTAAAAATCAGGGGAAATTTACTTATTAGGTTTTCCAAGAGGTCACGTTTTCTATCTTGCGCATGGAAATCCTGAAGATTATTTTGTAGTGACACCGATGCAGTACTCGACTTATACTTGTTTTAATCTTGATTTCGAATATAAAGAGAAACCGTAATGAATAATGATCGCAATTTTTGGCAATGGAACATCCATATTCGACGTGAAAATTGGTAAGTTTCGATTGTGCATTGAAAAATCTAATACATACACGTATTGTGGGTGGAATTTTCTTGCGAACAAGATATGACAAATCCGCTGTGTACATACAAATGATCGGAGTCGGCGTGATCAATAGATCTGCGATTTGCATCGTTTTTTATATGTCACCTAGTTACACCAATTGTCCATCGATTCTTTGAACCGGTTTTGTTTTGTTTTTTTTTTCTTTTTAAAATACCCAACATCTCTCCCAGATAAATTTTCTTGTTGTTTGAACAAAAAAGGTCAACTTGTGCACCGCCTACAAAAGGTGAGTAACATTGAACCGCCTTTTTTCCTTGCCCTCAAGTACAACCATCCTATTCCTTATAATTTGCTAGGTGTAAGTAAGCAATAATAGAAAAAGATTTCCTTGAGGGTTCTCGAGGCTGTGTGTATATATGCTCTTGTTCTTCTTCACGCCGCATTTTCTTTAAATTCCGCCCAGTTTTTCCACTCGCTTCGATTTTTACTTTAAATTATGTATATAACACATCCAATGTTCGATTATATTGATTTTCATATATATCAGAGATGTTATAATAATTCCCCATAAATGATACGTAACATTCGATAAATTTCTACTGACCTTTGACGCTTTGTTTACACAAATATTCGAATATTCACGGTACCCAACCACTTGGCACCTTATGTAGCTACTCGGTTCTTTTTTTTTTTTTTTTTTTTTCAGTTCTGAAATCTTTTTGACTCATCTCCAACTTGTTTAAACCATCTTTTTTTTTTATCCTGCGTCTTACAAAAAAGTTTCTCACGGTTTACGTTTGACAAGAACATGAATATAACCGAAGAAAAGTGGCCCATTCAACAAACTTCTCAGGCTTCTCAATCTCCCCGTCAAGCTCATCCGTCGTTGTCTCCGCAAATGAACGGTATCTCGACGGAACCTTTTATGCCACCTTTCTCCTACGAAGGCCAAACGTCCCAGGGTCAAATCCAAAGTTCACAAATGTGAGTCTTCAACTGTTTTTTTCTCGTTTTTATAATAGAAAAAAAAAAAACATTTGTGTCGCGCACGTTCACAGTTACCACAACGAGCATAGTTTAGAACTCGCGTTTTATTTTGTACTTCGTACAAACTGGTTTTTGTTATGCAAGTTAATGTTTCTTGTCGCCGCGTGTCACCTTACACACACTCTTCGATACCCCGAAAATTACTGCGTCTTCACTCTCTCTCTTGTCCCTTTGTTTTTCAAGCACACAACCGAGTTCCTCATACTAACGGACACGTGATGTATGCTAATATAGGCAAGCCGGTGACGGAAATAACATGATTGTTACGCCAAAGCAAGAAATTGCGACTCCGCAAAGGTGATTGATTGTCAAGTGCGAATATGTTTGGATGCACCATGATTATTGCCGCTGGTCCTTTATCATTATCAATCGATCGATCCACGTGTGTGTATGCTATCAACTTCATGCGTGGCGAACAATTGAGTTACTGACCGACTGTTCTTGTTTCCCGAATTCCTTCCACTTTCGTGCAGCAATTTCGTTACGATGCCCAATCCCGTGACGCGACAGAATGTTGGCTCCCCTGTCACCCCAACCACCCCAAGTTCCGCCCCGCCCGATCGAAAAATCGATAATAGACACGCATTCACAACTTCCTCATTTCACGCTTCACCATTTCAGAGTACGACGGTCAGAAAACGTCGGGATAACACAATGAATTTCAATGACGTCGGCCCATTCTTCATGCAAACACAACAAGTCGCAAATATATACAGCACGGATAGAACGAATAGGTACCCCTTCGAATTCTACTCACCGTGTCCCCTTATATGATCATTTACCAGAGATCACGGATTGCCTATTTGACTCCGATTTTTCTATTTTTACCAGTTACAAGATCTGCATTAATTCCAAGGTCGACCGTGGCTTCTTTCTGGCTGACAATGATTGGACCTGCTACCGGAGGAATTACTTCCAGATCAGCAGCGCCTTCTCCATCACAAGCACATCTCATCCGCTTAAGGAATCAGATACGCAGTGTTTGATAGAGGTTAACGGGCAATTTCTTCCGGTGACCCAATTCTTATTGGGTATCACGGCTCGTGTTTCTAATAGTGACAAGAAAATCGATCTTGTACAACACACCCCAAAACGTGATAAGGGTCCTCAGATGGTCCCCATGCCAAAGCCTATTCGCCCAGGTGGAAACCTGAATCTTAGTTCGGTTGGTTCGAATTCAAATATCGTCACATTCGAACGTATTCAGTTCAAAACGGCTACCGCGAACAATGGCAAGCGCCGTGCAGCTCAACAATATTATGTGATTATGGTCGAACAGTATGCCGAAAGTGATAGTTGCGATAACTACCTGGTCGCCACCACAATGTCAGCTCCCTTGGTCGTTCGTGGTCGTAGCCCTGGTCATTATGCTGATGCCTCGGAACGTTTTAATCCCTTGACGATGCACCCGTCATATCCAAATGATGGTCGACAGCATATGAATTTTCCGCATCCTGGGCAGGGTGGTTCCCCCGGTGTGATCCAGCCTGATTTCGGTGGGTCCCCTTATCCTGGTGCCTACGGTCAATACCCTCCGTTCCAGGGTTTCTCTCAGATCATGATTCCTACCAATCCATCGTCATCCGAGACCTCACATTTTCACCAACACCAGTCCCACTACATAGTTCACAACATCCCTCAGACAAGTGATAGTCAGAATAACGACATGTTCAACAATCACAACATTGACCCAAGTAATATTGAAGGTATTTTTTTTATTTTTTTTCAATTATTACATTGATTCTTAACATTATGATGTGATTATAACTGAATGATTAATTGTTTTGCCAAACAGTTCCA